CGTAGAAAGAGGTAAGCGAGCGAGCAAGCTAAGAAAGGCAGGAGATAAACAGTAAAAAGAATAATTTTATTTACCATTAAAACTTTATCCTCTAACTCAAAATAACATGTATGTTTTTTGGATTTTGAAAGCTAAAAATTTTATTGCCTATCACGCTACACATTAATTAAAAAGAATAATTTCCATGTTGTTTTAGTCAGATTTTTTATTGTTGTGACAAAAAAAAAAAAAAACTGAGAAAACAACTTAGAGGAGGAAGGATTTATTTTGGTTCACAGTTTTAGAGATTTTAGTCCCTGGTTGATTTGTTCCATTACTTTGGGTCTGAGGCCAAACAAAGCATTATGACAGAAGGGCATGGTGGGAGAAAACTGCTCACTACTTCACAGCAGCCAAAAAGTAGGGGGGGTGGTGAAGGGGCTGGGGGCAACATATACCCACTCAGGGCATGCCTATAGTGATCTACTTCTTTCAAGTAGGTCCCATCTCGTACGGTTTCCACCACCTCCCAGTAGTCCTTTTAATAATGACCTCATCAATAAATTAGTCCATTGATGTGATCAGTGCCCTCATGAAAAGTATCCAAAAGCTCCTAGGTTATCTTCCCCAAAGCTCCTAGGTTATCTCTAAAATATTTTTTTCTAAAATTATAATATTCCTGAAAATGCCAGTTTGAAAACTAGCATATACTATGCATGACCAAATAGACCATTTGTAGATACAAACTTTGAGAAGATGAATATCTTCTCAAGAAATCAGAAGTGAAGATATTTAGGTATCAGAACATATCAAAAGTAAAAGAAAAATTCATGATGAGTAGGACCTCTTTTCCTGACCCTGGAAATGAGGGTGTGCCTAGTAACACATCATTGCAGAAGCCCATGATCTGATTTTCAGCAATCAGAAAGCTCAGTTGGCAGCCCAGCAGTGAGCAGGATGTGTTAACAGATGTCCTATAACTGCTGATTTGATTCTAGGAATTTAATTTGGCTTCTTGGGGACAGCCCTGGAACAGCATGACAATTCTAGAAAGTGGTGTCACACTTACCCATTCATTTGGCACTAAGCAGGTTTAGATCTCCTTTTGGAGAAAGGCATTTCTCAGAAGTAGCATATGTTGAGAATTAATCAATTAACCAACAGGTAGGTGTTTATTAGTTTCCTAGTTTGTTTTTAGTGCTGTGGGAAAGATAAACTCTGACTCTAAAATGTAGTTCTGGAAAATACTACTAATTTGTCATCTATAATGTGACAATAACTGTTCTTCAGAGTGTGGTTACATAGGATTTGATCTCAATTTCTGGGCATTTGCAGTTGACAACCTCTCAGGAAGTGAATATAGATGAATATAGTTATTCAGGTGCTCAGGAGGCAAAGAATAACAACTGCAGGCTGGAAAAAAAAAAGTAGTTTTGGAAAAGAGGACTTGTGTTTCTCAAACAAAAGTTTTTCTGTTTGGAGAAGGGTGGTGTTCTGGAAATGGACATTTGCCTTAATTTAGATGAGGGTTGAGGATGCTGAAATATCTGAAAAAGGTAACTTTAATCAAGTAATTGAAGTGAAGTGACAATGAGACTCTCCTCCATCTTTCTATTCTTCATTTCAGAGTATTTCATATAAAATATTAATATGCAAAAAAAGTCAGTAAGCTAAGCCTCTGTAAAAATGACAGATGCTAGCAGCTTTTGCATTTCTAGCAGGTAGGAGTTTCTTTTTTTCTATAGTATAGGTTAAATGCTTATTTATTTAATAAATATTCTCTGACCATCTACCATGTGACCGGCACAAAAATCAGGCAAAAATCCTCGCCCTCCTGGTGTGGGAATCAGACAATGATCAAAATAGAGAAGTATTTTAGTAAAAGGTGCTAAGGAGAAAAAGTAGAGAGGAAGAACAGGAAACGAGGGCGGTCACAATTCTAAACATGGGAAGGTCTTAGAGAAATTTGAGGAAAGAGATATTTCACTTTGAAATCTAAAAACATTGAATTCATAGAAATAGAATGGTCTCTTTATGCTCTAAATAATTATATGTTCTAAATTAATCTCTGACTCAGAGCGGCAGTTTAACAGGGGAGCAAGAAATTTTCTCAGTTAGGCTCTAAGTGCCCCCTATTTCTAGGGCTGTGAGAATCTACAGGGGTGCATATATTGATTCTCCAGTGAGTTTCTAGGGCTCATTTTGCTCCAGCCTGGTGGCTGCTGAGGACTGTCTAATCTCATGTGATTTTTGAGGAGCCAGCTCTTTATTAGGGCTATGAAACCACAGCTTAATTTTGTCACTTGGGCAACCAAGTGCCACCCCATGGTAGAAGTTCTCTCCTGTGGGGACACAAATCTAGGCTACTCCAGGAACTCCTCCAGAATTCTCAAACCCACCTCAGTTTGGAGGACCCTCACAATGGGATCACTTCTCCTCAAATTTCATTAACACTTTCTAACAGCCTTTCTAATGGCCTGGCTTCCCAGACAGAAGCTTGAGTGGGAGAGGCCATTGTGCTAAGTGAAATAAACTAGGCACAGAAGATCAAATACCACATGATCTACTTGTACATGGAATCTTGAAATGTTGAACTCATAGAAGCAGAGAGTTGAATGGTGGTTATCAGAGCTGGGGAGTTGGGGAGATGTTGGTTAAAGGGTTAAAAAAATAAGTCTGGTGGTTGTTTTCAGGTCTCTGGCTACCCTTGGTTTGAAACCAAAAGGGTGCCTGTAGCAAAGAACAACCTTTTAATATGATACTCAAAATAAGAGGCTTCATTCCTTTTGGTCTCCAAAGAACTAACGACAAAACAAAATGAATGTCTCAATCCATTCAAATAACCTTGCCAATACATTCAAATAACAAATGTGGTCCCTTTAAATTATTTGTCAATATACTCAGAGAATTGTGAGAACAATATATTTGCCCCCCCCCTTTGCTTATTAGCATTGTGACTCTGTATGAGGAGTTGGGTGGGGAGGTATTCATCTGAGGGTGTTTTGTTAGTTTCACATCTCTCCCTTCACCATCAGACCAGTTCAGATAAGAGACAGTAAGCAAGGTATAGAGGTGACCAAGGGGAGCAAGAGACCAGGAGACAGAAACAGAAATGAGGGTCCGATGGAGGAAAGGTAGACGTGGGAAAGGGGAGGACAGGAAAGAAAATGTACTGAGAAGAAATAAGGGAGAAAGGACAAAGGAGAAGATGAAGTTAAATAGACTTAGAACGAGGGTTGGAAAATGAAATATTGAAGATGGACAATGAAGAAACAAGTTAGTTGAAGAAATTATGTTAAAATTATACAGAAGGTCAGAAATTATGCTAAAATTATACAGAAGACCAGAAGCCTGACACAGGATTCCTGGAGGCTCCATGGGGAACCTGCTTCCTTGAGCATGCTTGCTTCAAGAGCTGCCTATTTCTTGGTTCATGTTCCCTTTCTCCTCCATCTTTAAAGCGCCTCTCAGATCATTCTCTGAGGTTCAAATTTCATCTCTCTATTCTTCTGCACCACCTCCCTGCCATCATCTCCTTCCTCCATGAATCAAGAGAAGTTCTCCACTTTTAAGGATTCATGGGATTACATTGGACCTGCCTGGATAATGCAGGATAATCTCCCCATCTCATGGTCCATAAAATCATAGCTGCCCAGCCTCTTTTGCTATAAATGATGTTATATTCACAGATGCTGGGAATCAGAACACTGATTACATCCTCGGGGCCATTGCTGTGTCTCTCAGAGATTTGCAGGCTTCATTGGAACCCTCTCTGTTAATCAAAGTATCAGGCAGTGCAGTTTTGGGGAGCCCAATTCCAATCTAGACCATGTTGAATGCGTCTTAGCCTACATACCATTTGAAATGTAGAAATAGATGTAGTTCCCAAAAAGTCAAGATATTCATTTTGATAAAAATAAATGCATATGCCTTTTTATTATATTCTAATGTATAATGGCAGGAAAATCAATGGATGACTTTGAAACCTTAAATAAAATCTCCTACTCTGGTAGCACGGTGCCCAGGATTAGATAAGAGCCACTGAAGTGGTGTCTTTGTCTGACTCTGTGCAGCCATTGCTGAGGCTCGTGGTCAGCATATCCCTTCTATCCTTGACACTTCTCTGATAAGATGCTTGTAGATTCAGAATGACTACAGGTGATTCCAGATGGCAGCTTCTGCTGACTCCCAAAAATTGCTTAAGCAGGCCCACCTCAGATGAAGAACCCATCCTAGTTTCTCTGTGGCAGAGGGGAATTCTGTGGAATTCACTTCCTCCTTCACAGGTGTTCATGTGCTTGTGTTTGCACACATCATTGTAACAAGAAACCGACCTTCTGTGGAGAATATTGGCCGGAACCCTCTGGAATTTGATTCCATAATCTGATTCTGGTTCATGCCCTGTTCTCTTCTTAACAACATTTGGATCAGCTTCCTGGGCAAGTTGAAAGTGAAAGTTAAAAAATTCCATGTGAGGATGAAAAAGGAAGTCTGGAAGGAAACGAGAAGGTGAGCTTTCAAAAATAAAGTCAGATCTTTACTTAGAAGAAGAAAGGAAGGAAATGTAGTGACTCAAATTATCTACAATTTGGGCTATTTTGCCTATTGTTTCCTCCAAACACAAAGTAGCATTTGTTGAATTCCAAGCACTTGCTGGTTATTGGGGCTACTAATACTGAGTATTTTCATAGGTCTTATTGTATGAGAGAGTTTGTATGCATTATGTTTGTCTGTATCAACATATTCAAATTTATGTAAAATTTTATGTTTGTTAAATTGCTGCCTGACTTTTTAGAAGTTCTTTCACATCAGCTACTTTATCTGATCGCATAGCAATTCAGAAAGTGGCCAGTACAGATATGAAATCAGAGTCATAAAGAAATTAATCATCTTATTCTCACCTTACTTGGTCCCAGGGCTAAGGAGTGTTAGGTTACAATCAAGTTTCTTAACTTTAAAATCAATACTCTTTCTATTTAATTCTGTATGAAAAAAAATTCCATAACTCAAGAGTTTGGGCACAGATTTAATGATTTCAGAACTATCAGAGCTATAACACTAATTTTCATTACAACATATATTTAACAGCAATTGACCATAATTTGGTGCTGAGGGGAGTATTAAACAATGAAAAAAGATAGCGTTTCATGCAATATTATATAAAAATACAACAAGATCTTGAAAATGTAATATTATATAAAGAACTAAGAGACTCAGAAAAAAGGTTTGTTGCTGAACTATTTTAAAATAGTACACAGTTTCTATCACATGATGAATGTAAGAATCAAACAAGAAAATACAGAGACAACTTCTGAGTTCAAATTGCCCAACACGCACAAAGCTAAGCATTTTCTGCACAGTATAATTAATTCCACCAAAAAAGAGGAAGATATACCTTTAAATTGATTAAACTATAAATTTAGAATTCTACCCCATTACCTCATGTGTTTCTTTTCCTTAGTGTAACTAATCTGAGCCAGTTATACAAAAATTATTTTACTGAAAAATGGTCAACACACTGGTACCGGTTCAGACTCAGAAAAATTTTCTGGATTATTTATAAGATTCAAACAGATCGAATTTTTTGTTTTGTTTTTAAAGTCAACCTAAAGGTACACACAAAATTTGTTTCTTCCTGGTTTTACTTGTTGGTTTTCAATAAATGTTCATTTTTAACCTTCCAAAAAATGTATTCTAAAACAATGTGATTTGTCTTTTAGAATTTAGTCATCTCTTCCTGACTCTTGAAATATTTCTCTAGCCATGTCAAATATTAACAAAGAGCTCCACATACAAAAAAATTCCCCTTAATTCTTCTGTCTTTTGCTGATATTTGTGGCAGATATGAACATTGCATTTGATTAAGTAGATGGAATCTACTTAATCCTACTTTTGTCTGTGAATATGAGGTCTAGCTCAGTTAAGGGACAGGCTCATATAGACTAATACCATATAATACCATATAGTCTAATACCACTGTCTTACTGCATTTAAGGAGCATAATATGAGTCTTCAGATCTTTATTCATCAAAATTGAATGTGTTTCATTAGGAATTCTACTCAAAGAGAAAGTCTGCCTACTGAGAAAACTATGTAGCAACCATTTTCCCTTAGCCTAAAAACAAAATACAAGTGTCTAAAAGTTCACAGCATTTCATGTCTCAACCTCCCCCAACCATGTGGAGACATGGCTGAACCAAGAGGAGGTGTTTTGGACTCTCAGGCTCAACATCAAGAGTCTGTGCAATAACTTCGAGATCCTTCTCGGATCAGCTGTGTTTTCTCATTTGCATTTGTAGGCTGGAGAACAACAGGAAAGTCCACATCTAAAAATAAACAGAGAAAAGCAACAAATACGCTTATCAAATTATAGTTCCTTTAATGGGGGGCAAGAGGTAGGTATTTTTCTTGAAATGATAATGAGCAAACTAATTGAATTCATGAAATATTATTACTATTAAAATGCCTATCCCTTTAAGCACTACAAAAGGGAGGAGACAACTGTATATTCCTTGCTCAAGTTCTGTTAATTTCAGAATTATAAAACTGAAGCTGTAAGCCCAACTTTCCCTTGAGAGAGAGAGGCTTGCTGAACCTACTGAACTTGAACTTAAGTTTTCACTACCTTGTGAAGATGGACCCCGAGCCACCAATATGGTTGTGCAGGTTGGACACTCTAAAGCACTGTGGGCACCTTCATAAAGACTACAATGTGTATCTGTATGAAAAGTCTAGTTTATGTGGCACATGACCCCTAAAATTTATAGTGCATAATTTCATGCAGATTCCCCTCTGAGATAGGAGTCAAAACCCAGAGCTTGTTTAGGTGGAGAGTCTAATAGGAAGTTCTCCACATAAAGGTAGTGCCCCAAATGGTTATGTCTTCTCTAAATCACGATACCCTTAAATCTGCATGGAGACTTGTTAGACTTGAGTTTTGGCATTGAGTTGAAGGAACTTCTCTTAAAATGTTTAATGGCAGGCCAAGGAGTACTCAGGTTGACAGATCAAGTTTTCATCACCTGTGTGTTCTAAGCAAGATGACAATTTCGTTTAAAGTGGTCTAGTGCAAGACTACTCCCAGGCACCTAGCAGAAGTGAATGACTTCACATTCAACATAGTTCTAAAGAATCCCTATAACATTGCAAGAAATGTAATTTCATAGTAAAAACAAAGAGATAAGAGGGAAGGGAAAATTACACACAGAATGCACATTGAGTGACAATTTTTCTTTATATTGGTATATTAAAATTATACATAATAGTGTCATTCATTGTTACATATTCATATATGCATAAAATGTAACACTATGATTTGGTCAGTTTCATTCCCTAGCACCTCTTTTCCTCCCTCCCCTGGTCCCCCCCCTTCCTTTACTCTACCATTCTTCTGAAGAGAATATTAATGTAGTACAATACAGATATAAGGAGATTATCTGGGAAAACATGAAAGATGGCAAAAGAAATGAATAGGGTGATAAAATCTAACATATCTAATGCAACTTCCAAAGGGAGGAAAAAAGAGGAAAGGCAGTATTTGAGGATTTTATGACTGAGAATTTTCTAGAACTGATGATACACCAATCCACAGATTCAACAGAAATTAAAGAGAAGCCCATATTTAGAACATCTTAGTTCTAATGAAGATCATCAGAGACAGTGGTTTCAAAATCAGTCTCAATAGGAAGTATGATACTATGTAATTACATCTACAGTATGTCAAAAGAAGAACTCTGTCAACTTTATTTTGTTGATTAACTCTCTAAGTTCTTTTTTTTATTAAAGCATGAAATAAATGTATATCCAGACAATAAAAACAGAAAATTTGCCACCAGAAGACCAAATTTAAACATATAACAGGCAGAAAGGAAATGTTATCTGATGGAAGATTTCTGCTGTAAAAAGGAATGATTAGCAAAAAACCACACACACACACACACACACACACACACAATAGAGTGATACTCCAACATACTGGCACAAGCACTGATTACTTAATAAGACTCCTAAAGCTCAAGAAATAAAACTAAATATCAATAAGTGAAATGACTTCAAATTAAAAAGCTTTTGCAAGGCTGGGGTTGTGGATCAGCAGCAGAACATTTGCCTGGCATGTGTGAGGCCCTGGGTTCAAATCTCAGCACCACATATAAATAAATAAAATAAAGGTCCATCAACAACTTAAAAAACAATTCTTTAAAAAAAAAAAAAGCTTTTGCACCACCAAGGAAACAATGAAGAATGTGAAGAGAGAGCCTATTGAGAGATTATTACTAGCCATTCTTCCTATAGGAAATTAGTATCCAGAATATATGAAGAAAACAAACAAACAAAAACCTAAAAAACTCCCCCAAATAACCCATGGGCAAATGAACTAAATAGACATTCTCAAAAAAGACAAATACAAATGGTCAACAAATATATGAAAAAGTGTTCAACACTCTTAGCAATCAAGGAGATGCAAAAATCCAGACTACACTAAAATTTCATCTTACTCAAGTCACAATGGCAATCACCAATAAATGCTGATGAGGATTTGGGGGAAAAGGTACACTCATTCATTGTTGGTAGGAATACAAACTAGGACAACAACTTTGAAAAAGAGTGTGGACATTCCTCAAAAATGAGGAGTGGAACCACCATATGACCCAGCTATCCTACTCCTTTGTATTTATCCAAAAGATCTAAAATCATCACACTACAGTGCCATGTGCATACCAATGTTTATAGTAGCACAATTCACAATAGCCAAGTTATGGAATCAGCCTAGGTGCCTGTCAATTGAGAAATAGATAAAGAAAAGTGGTATATCGAGGCAACAGAATTCTATTAAGCTGTAAAGAAGAATGGCATTATGTCATTTGCTGGTAAATGGATGGAACTGGAGAATATCAAGCTAAGTGAAATAAGCCAGACTGAGAAAGTTAAGGGTCAAATGTCTTTTCTGATATGTGGAAGCTTAAAGAAAATAGGAATTTTAAATGGGGATCTTATGAAAATAGAAGGGAGATCAGTAGTGTAGAAGCAGGGGACCTAAGAGGAGGGGAGGGAAAAAGGAAGAACCAGGGAATTAAGTTGACAAAATTATTTCATGTGCATCTATGAGTATATCTCAATGCATTCCAATTTTATACATAACAATAATGCATAAATTTAAAAAATAAATAGAGGTAAGACCAGCAGGGTAGAAAAAGGGAATCAGAAGAGGGAGGAAGAGAGGGAAAGGAAATGTACTGGGAATTGAAATGGAGAAACTATGCTATATCAAAATGAACCCTGAAATTATGTAAAACTATAATGCACTAATACAAAAATAAAAAAGATAATAGTAAATATGTGAGTAGAACCAAAGTATTATTGCTAGATTGTAAGATTAAAGGTAATAGGAACCAAGTCTTTCTTTTTCCTAGCCCCTAACATACTGTCAAGAAAATGTTAAGTTCTCAAAATTTTTGCTGTTGAAAGTTTATCTCTATAAACCAGGCTGGTAAATTACTCAACTTTGGCAGCCAAAAATCAAGAAAGCTTAGGTCCGCTTTGCTTTGTTGGGGACCATTTTGATGAGCTGATTCACTGTCTTACTGCTCTCGCCTGGGTCCTTGATGCTTGCTTAACATTTTCATGTAAAGATGCACAAATTTCTGGCATTATTTTTCATGCATTATTTTTGAAATTGTTCTTCTTGATTGTGGGAAGGAAGCTGAGTGGAGGAAGGGGGCAAAAAGAGGAAGGGTGAATTTATTTCTTCCATGGTACCCTTTTCCTGAGCAGTCAGATGTGCTGAATACTGAACAGCCAGTATAATAAATGAATCAATATCTTGGCCAAGAGCAAGAGCCATATGGCTTCTTCTTCACAGTGGTTGTGAATTTATTTGGGTTTTATCCAGGTGAGTGGCAAGAACAGTTAAGCAACCAACATATTTTTCTGTGCACTGAATCATACATTTTTAGATCCAAGGTCAATACCATAAGATCTACTTCTTTTTTAGATACTTTATTCCCTTTCCTCTCCTTAAAAAAGAAAAGAAAAGAAAGAAGAAAAATCATGACTCCACAAGAACTTTTTTTGGGATTTAGCTGGAAGTTTTGGTTGGATATAATTTAATTGGCTTCAGCTTAGAAGAAACAAAATCAATTTAGCTCCTGTATTTTTTATTTGCTTTTCCAGGATGTTCAGAAATGACTGGTGTACTTTAGGCTTTTGTTTTGATACCTTGTTACATTGTCACACATACATTCATGGCTCTATTTGGAGATGGTCTCGAAAATCCTCTTAGCTAGTGGGGTTCTGATTTCACTGTGACCTTCAGAAACCTGAGGACTATAGAGGCTAAATGAAATTGTTTTAAATATGCCAATCAAAATTTCACAATGTGAAGCTTCTAATTTGGGATCATGAAAGTAAGGGAAATAACCTAGTATCTACTACTTTTTACCTTTCAGGTTTTAACTTTTCAAAGATGAAAAAAAAAAAAGAAGTGTTCTCCTTCACCCTGCCAAAGACACACTCTCTCTTCCATTTGACTTTGATTAATGCATAGGAGCAATATAATCTTCCTATGTTCCTAGGATCTCACTGGGAGTATATTTTTTATTTTGAGAAAGAGATGTAATCATTTATAGGTTCTCTAGTTGATTATTGGAGATGCACTGTTTGAACTTTGTTTCCTTTATTTCTTAAAGGTAGAAGCTGGGTTATATCCTTTGACATAGTTGAAAGAAATAAAATAACCAAGATATATCCTCTCTTCTACCAAATTTCACCCTATACCACTCTCTCCTGAACAGAGACTTTTGCCATGTTATTCTATTAAGAGTATCCTCGCCTTTAGCCAGGGTCAAGGAGTAGATATGATTGAAATATGCACACAGGAAAAAAGCCTTAGAAAACAGTCTAATTTTATAATTATCTCAAGGTAGGTGAAAAACATTTCTAATGTTTCTAATGTGTTTTATAAGTCAACAGATAAAAAGGATTTGATATTTCAAATTTGGATTTTTATAAATTAAAAATATATTTATAAGATCCTATAACATCTTCTTAAAAGTAAAACTTGAGGTGATTGGCCAGAAATTGAAATCAGAAATGTGTTTTTCTAATAAACCCCTACTTTTTCTTGTTTATGGGTAGTCTAGTAAGGCTCAGAAGAAAGTTGCCAGTGATTACTGTTAGTTTTGTTCTAGAGAAAGCATTATCTCATATTAGTTCTATTACATTTATGTCTTGGCATTTCTGGATAAGAGACAATAGAAGAAATGCTAATTCATTCAAATCAGTTTTCATGTATTAAAAATAAATTTCCAGTTGTAATATTCATATCATGGTCAAATCTCCAAGCACAGTATAACTTGAAGTATGACATTTAGACTGACAATTAATATAAATCCCTAGATCTACCCATTCCTCCCCACCCTACTGTATCTCACCTCAATTTGTTTCCCCTTCCACTTTCCAGGAAAATGGAAATTTAGCACTGGTTAGATAATTTCCAAAACCCAGTGCAATGAAAATATGATATATTTTATTTGAAAATTAAGAATTTCAAAACAACAACAATGGAGCAGTAAATTCAGTGCTCAGAATCCTTGCCAATGTAATAAGGCAAGAAAATGAAACAAAGGGCATCCCATCTAGAATGAAGTGGCCCCCATGGATTGCTCCCAATTCTAGAACCCTAGGATTTTATCATTATCTAGAACACAAGGATTAAAAATCCTCTGAGTGAGACAATGTTTGCCACTTTTTATTTAATTTCATTAAAGTAAAATTATGAAAGCCCAATGTCACACCATTGCCTTCCAATCTCCCCCATTTTCTTCTGATGCCTTTACATTTAAGTTTTGCAACTTTGTATCTTGATGTACATTGCTTCTCATTAATTATGAGAACAGAACTTTGATATTTGAGTAACTGGTAATCCTCTTTGGTTACTAACTTTAAGTGAGATCCCTTCTTTCACAGAACAGATTAGACGTTAGTTTATTTATCAGAAGACCTCAGTTCAGAAAGCACAGTCTGCTTTTGAGGTCTGCTTTTTCTTACCAGCCTTAATTTGCATTAATTTCACCTGTGAAGTACAAGTCTCTGAGTTAGTGAAGTACAAATCTGAAATTAATGCAACAAACTGCAAATGAAGAATAGATTCTCATAATAAAATGTTAGACTGGAGAGAATTGAGGGATTTACTGCAGAGTTGATGGTACTTGACGCTTTGGGGCCCTCACCTTCAGAGACCTTTCCAAGAGTCTATGTTTATAGATCAGAAAGAGGAAGATATTTATAGACTATAATCAGCCAAAAATTGCCTCTTTCTATGCTGATTTTCCCTTCTCTCTGACAAATGAAAACAGAGAGCTTTTGGGGGATTTGCTTAAGGGAGAATAGAGCTGAAGATAGGTTTCATTTGAGTTTAGTGGATTATGTTTTTGTGGTTTGCAGCAACTCTATGTATTATTAATTATTGCTAGCCATGTGGGTGTAGGAATGCCTTTAGGAATGCTCCTACAGCTCATTATGTCAATTCACTTACTTGAACATGGAGATCTAAGACAAAGGTCATGTCACATAATATGAATGTGTCTAGTGGGCTCTGGCCTGGGGAGTATTAGATGCTGAAACAAGGTTTGAAATGTACAGAAGTGGTCTGTGGAAATTTCTTGCAAATCTTACATCTTTTTATATAAAATAAGCTAAATAGTTTCCCCAAATTTGACAAACCCTAAACAACACTATAAATAATGAGTTGCAGAGTTGACCGAACACGTTCTAATTCACCAATAATAAAAAAGAAAAAAAAAAGGGCCAAACACACTAGAAGAGAGGCAGAATTAGTTTTATATATATATTTTTTTACTATAGAAAATTGTGTTACAAAAAATAAGACAAGAATATGCATCCATACAGCATTAGAGGGAAATATCAGGGCTATGTTAGGCAGTTAATTATATGACTGCTGCTTTTATAGATTTTGTAATATAGGTGGTATTTTTCAGAGCTCTACAACTTTCTCATTTCAAATGAATATTCACTGCCAGATCTTATTTTGTGTTCTTTTTCTTAAAGAGGGCTGAAAAAAATTACATTTCAGGTCCCACAAAACCCGGATCATCCCTGCATAAGAGCTTTTAAGTATTTAGAAATAAAAAAAAAATGTTATCCTTTTGGTTACGTATTCTTAATGATACAGTCAAACGAGACTCCAGAATCTGACCTCTGAAACAGAATTGGTAGCTCTATGGTGTCAGAGAAACTGAGAACAGTGACAGGCACACAGATTCATCACCAAGCCCCCAGCAGGGAGGAAATCTGGGTGGAATCTGGCACCTAGTCTGGATTTCTGTTTTCAAAAAGAAATCTTCCACAAAGATCTATTGAAATGACCTGGTAGAGCTTTTATCTAATTCAAAAGAGCAAAGATTGTGAAGCCTTTCAGAGAAGTGTGAAATACTGAATTTGGGGTATCTAGGTTCAGTTCATCTAGTTTGGGTTTTCCCAAATATAAAGGAAAAGTTAAGACAAGGTCGAGACTATGGATAATAATGAAGATGATACTCTCCTGTCTTTCTGTCCCTCCCTGTCCTCTGTCAGTGAGTGGGTACTGGGCTGGAACAAGAGATGTTATAGAGAGATCCTATATGGTCAATGCAGCCAGTGATCCCTGATGTGATCTTTTTTTAAAAAAAAAAAATTTAGTTGTAGATGGACACAATATTTTTATTTATTTATTTTTATGTGGTGCTGAGAATGGAACCCAGTGCCTCACACATGCACTCTACCACTGAGCTACAGCCACAGCCCCACACCACCCCCCGTGATATAATTTATAACAGTTTATCTCCTTTTAAAACAGCAGAAAAGATTAATGTGCTGGCATCATCATTCATAAGCAAGTTGGGCCACTGTCATCATCCCTTCTCTAAAAATAAGGAGTTTCCATGCAAATATCACCACTTAATCCATCAATCCACTCACTAGTAATCCTGCTTGACTGATCATTTTGTATGCCCCTTTAGAAAAGATAAATTTGCCCTTTTGTATCCCAAATACAGCAAAAAAAATTTAGTAATCATATTTTATCATTAGCCCACAATTTAGCTCCAAGGACAATAATAAAAATGATCAGAAAACCTCCTCTAGTTGTTGGACTAACAATCCCCATAGCAAGAGATACAGGTTGCAGAAAAACTCTTTCTGTCCTCTTTAAGCTCCCAATTCTGAAAGAGTCTGTGGCTCAGTACAATTAATATGACTTTTCTTTTGAGCTAAAATAATGCGTAATACTGCATAATAGTATCACATTATATAGAAATTAAAGGCATGTGGAAGCCTTTAAATAGTTTCTTGTGCTTGACATCCTGGAATTTGTTTCAGTGTGACCAGAGCCAGAGTATGGTCTGATCCAGACAAGTGCACCGTCCTGAAATTCCAGCAGTTCTGAAAACAATGAGCCACTGTATGAATTATCAAGTAATTTTTTTAGTTAACTGTCCAGAGTTCTTTTAGGATTCAGTGATAAAGTCTGTAATCCAGAAAAATGATGCATTCCACAGGAGAAAACAACAGTGGATTGTGGCTGTGAGAGGTAGCAGGAAAATGGCAATTTGATGCTGGCTTGCTTAAACAATGATATTTCCCAAAGACTATCAAATATTCTTGGTGTGAATCCTCTGGGATCTTATCTTTCCTTGCATTTTTTTTTCTTTTTCATTACCGGGCAGAATGAATTTGAAAAATCAATTTATCATGGTGATGCATACACATAGACATATGGAGCTGGTTTCGTAAAGCAAATAGCCCAATTTTTTGACGCTTCTTTGAAGCTAAACCTCAAGGTATATAATTTATAAAGAAGTTATATTTCAGAGGAAGAAGAGAAGTCTGCTCCAGTTCCAGTCCAACCTCTTTATCTATCCAAAGGAAGAAAAATTAAGGGTTGATGGCATTTTTGATGTTCATTCCTTTCTGTTTCATTAGAGACGTTAAAGGAACAAGATGAAAGGCTTTTTCTGGGAAAAATTTCTCCCTTGGGTCTCATGTCCTGGACACTCTCACCCAAACTTTCCTGAACCCAGAGTGCACTATATTTTGTAATGAGATCATGAATTGTACTTGCTTTGCATTGTTATCAGCATATTTAAAGATATTACCAGCTTTTCTCTATGCTTGGTAAAGACAAATGACCCTTCCTTTTCCCTAAAAGACCAACCCAAAGCTGTAGTCTATGGGATTTCCCTCATGTGGCCATTGGATCTCTCAGTTTAATAGGACCCAGTGCTTGGTCTGGTCTATGAAGGGACACTCACTACCTCCACTCTCATTTTACTCCACCTTTTTCCATGTCAATCTTGATCTGTTCCTCGAGGTCTTCTGGTGACACATAAAAGTCCTCTTCTGACATTGATGATTTGGGCCGGCAGCGTCCACAACAACAGTTGCAGCAGCAGCACAGGCAGCAACAGAAATAGCAGCCAGTCAAAAGGCCAATGATGATGAATAGGGCCTAGGGGACACAGAAACCAAGCACAAAAGGGGTGAGACCTGGTAGAGACGAGGACAATCCCAGAACCCAAGTCTGCACCCTCAAGAGACCTGAAGATATCACAGCGGATACCACAATGGCATGTCCACCTTCATCCTCACCTCCTGAAGAAACTATCATTTCAGTTTCCTTGAAAACCATTTTCCTCATAAAGTTTTGCCTAATAAGTTCGACCCAGAGGAAATGCCATGTGCATCAGTAGAGCTAGAGGGCTTTCACTAAACTCATCCTTATCACAGGGCAGTGACACCTGGGTTAAAGTGTCCCCCCAGGTTCAAGTGCATCTGAAGCCAATTAGCATTCCTCAACCGAGCCCACTCCTGCCAGCTAGCTCTTTCATTCCAGAGTACCAGCCTGATGCTTTCGGGTGGGATCTGTATTTCCCTTCCTAATTCAGTGAAAGAAAGTATGTAAATATAATTTTTTCTTTTTAGTGCTGTGGATGTGAACCCAGGATCCCTTTGCCACTGAGCTACATTGCCAGACCTTTTTATTTTTTATTTAGAGACAGGGTCTCTCTGAGTTTCTGAGGATGACTTCAAACTTGCAATCCTCCTGCTTCAGCCTCCTGAGTCACTGGAATTACAGGAGTGTGCCACTTGGCTATAAATAAATATACTTTTATCAGAAGATAAGGATAATAAAATTCATAAACAAACATGAATTATCACCAAATATACATACATTAGAGATTCCTAGGAGATCAAACAAAATTTACTACATAAAAGTTAATTCAGACTTCACTAAGTCCTTAAAAAGTTGCATTTTGCTTGGCCAGATGTCCATTTCTCTCCCACTTCCTGTTCTCCACCACTTCCTTCCTTCTTCACTACCTCATAGCAGGCTCCATGTGAGCCTGTGACACCATCACTCCTCATCCTCTCCAGTACCTTGTTTGCTGATGTAGCCCATGCTATAGATAGTAAAGTGCATGGCTAAATTTGTCCTATCATAATTTATTAAACAGTTGTCACACTAATAAATTATTTTTGGTTTTGAGCAATGAGTCAGTTCTTAGTCACTATAGAAGGGACGGGAGGCCAGTCAGAATTAACCTGAAGCTCCAAATTCAAATATAATTAATGTCTAGCAGTATTTTAAGTCAGAACAGATTTCATAATTAACTGAAGAACTAAAGCAAACAGGATCCCCAGATAATAGCTCTCAGTAGAAGAGATGTGTCATTTTATTTACAAGAGTTTCATGGCAGTAAGCTTAGTCTTTCTTTGAGATGAAGTTTAAAAGAGGGAAGAATACTGTGATCTTCCAGAAAATTTTTTTTTGAAGGGAAAAAAATCTGATGTACCTTTGCCCACCAGCTTGACAGCATGAAATAGGTATTGACGTTTTCATCTCCAAATTGTTCGGCCACGTAGAGTCCCAGTGATCCATACTTATCATATATGTTTCTCTTGGATATGTCTGTAAGTATGGTGTGGGCATTGTTGATTTCTTTAAACTTCTCAGCAGAAGCTGGATCATCTGGATTCTTGTCTGGATGGTGTCTCAGGGCCAATTTCCTTTTAAAGTAAAAAAAAAAAATGTGAGCAGTGTTATTTGAAAAACATTACAAAGACATTTTGGAAAGGTGGGGTTCATTTGTACATCTTTTATTTGTGTAAGTCCTGTGAAATGTCAGTTTCACAATAGTGGTGATTTACCAAGAAATGAGTTTTCATTAAATGGTATCTCTTCTTCCTGATATGCACAAACAATCATATATTATTTCTCTCCACACATCCTCGAGGGAGTTCTCAATAGTGGCACAACTGTTAAGTCACAACTTGCTATGCACAAGTGTGTGAAGTCGATCTTTACCTGGAAGCCGCTCCATAGCCCACCCCAACACATAGAGGCCCTTAAGGGTTCTAGCAGCAGGTTCTACTTTACACTCACATTCCATTTAGAACCAGAGGAGTTTTCCAGAATGACAGAACCTCATGTCACATATTCTAAAAGTTAAATTCAAGTATAAAAGGAGAAGACCCTGAATTAACACTCCCTTGAACACATTTGATGACCCCTTCTCAGATCACTGATAAGTCTTAACTCACTTTTGACTTTCTAAACAAACACTATGGCTTCCTTTGTTTTCCAGTGTATATTTAACCCCTTTCCAATTACATCTTCCCACTTCAAACACTCTGTAGACATTTGCTGTGGGTTTAGGGCCCTCTTTCCTCTGTGGATCCTAAAGTAGATACTGGGAAGTCTGGGACATCCTCTGTGTTCAGAGTGGATTGGGGATGTTCTTTACTCTTCTCTTTATACTTAGGTGTAAGAGTGGATGTGAGAAGTCAGCTGTGCCAGACTCCTACTGGTGGCCATTTCTCTCACTTGCCCCTGGAGATGATTTAAATAATGCTTAACATTCAAAATTGAGTCTGAACTACTTTTTTTCCACTAAAAACTCAATTTTATGACTCCTGGTTAGAAATTCCCCATGACTTTTCTTCCTACTGTGCCCACCATAGGTATTTGTAGTTATAATAAACTTCTACTTATTGTGTTATTTTAGGTAGAATGTTTCATTTTAATGCAGAGATAAAAGTCCAGAAGTAGAACATAAAAGTAAGTATAGCTTGAAAGCCAATCTATATGGTACACTGAAAAGTCACCTGTTTTAGGGATTAAAGTTAGGGATTACTGGTTAAGAAGTAGGTAAGTACACTCATATATTGCTGGTGGGACTGCAAATTGGTGCAATCACTCTGGAAAGCAGTATGGAGATTCCTCAGAAAACTTGGAATGGAACCACCATTTGACCCAGCTGTCGCACTCCTTGGTTTAAACTCAAAGGACTTAAAATCAGCATACTGTAGTAATGCAGCCACATCAATGCTTATAGCAGCTCAGTTCACAATAGCTAAGCAATCTAGGTGCCCTTCAACAGATGAGTGGATAGAGAAAATGTGGTATATATATATACAATGAATTATTACTCAGCCATAAAGAAGAATGAAATTATGGCATTTTTTGGTAAATGTATGGAACTAGAAACTGTCATGCCAAATGAAATAAGCCAGTTCCAAAAAACCAAAAGCTGAATGTTCTCTCTGATATGTGGATGCTAACACACAATAAGGGATGGGGGTAAGGGAAGAAAAGAAGTTATTGGATTAGACAAAGGGGAATGAAAGTAAGAGAGGAGGTGATGAGAATAGGAAAGACCATAGAATGAATCAGACATAACTTTCCTACGTTCATATATGAATATATAACCAGTGTAATTATACATCATGTTCAACCACAAAAATGAGAGCCTAATTAGAATAAGTTATACTCAATGTATGTATAATATGTCAAAATACATGCTACTCTCATGTATATCTAAAAAAACAAATGAAAAAAAGAAGTAGGTAAATATTTAGGCAGTGCAGCATTAAGATGCTTAAAATGTACAAAAATCCTTAAAAGTATAAATCATGATGTCTAATATATTCTAACTCTGAACTCAGACTAAATAAAAAACAAACAAACATGACAGCTCATTTCAAATTTGTGTAGTACAAACATTTTTCAGCCTTTATTTCGAGAAATGTTTAAATTATTATAAATGCAAACATTGGTGTCAGTGTTTCTTATGCACACAAAATTTATACTGAAACCTCTGGAAATTGCACAAAATGCCTATTTTGTCATTTTTAACCTTTTGCAATGTTTATTACATGCCATCACTTTTAAACAAATTAGAAATATCAATTCATTAATTCTCACAACAACTCTATGAGATAGGTATTATAATTATCCCTTTTTTTCCAAATTCTTTTTTTTTTTATTTCTTACATACATGAAGAAATAAAAATGAAGTAGTGGAATACATTACAATCATAATTATCCATTCACAACACCATTTTTCGTAACTCTGTATATAAAGTGTGTTCACTCAAAATTATGCCATTTTACAGAGGATATTTAGGCACTGGGAGGCTGAATATTGCTCAATGGCTACTCAGCTAATAATTAGAACTAGGCTTTGAACACAAGCAATTCAACTCTGACCACAAGCTCTTTATCACCACTATGATTCTCCAGTGTTGATATTTTTTTAAATTTCAAAAGTAAGGAACACAGAATGCATAGTAGATCATTGTAAGTATTTTGGCTTTAGTCTGGTGACACGGGAGAGGACTTTGTAGTTTTTCAAGCAGAGCAATAGTTTTAGAAGGATCACTTAGTATGGTAGAAGGCAAAGATGAATGTGAAGAAACTCTTTTTGGAGACTCGTTATAGTGATCTAGGCAAAAGGTTCGTGGTGGTTTGAAGCAGTGTGGTAGTAGAGGACATGGTGAGAAGTGCTGGATTTGGGATATATTTGAGGAATAGCTGATAAATTGAATGTGGGGCAGGAAAGAAAAAGATGAATGATGATGGCAGCAAAGTTTTGAGCACAGCAACTGGAAATCACTAATTTTTTTTTTTTTAGAGAGAGAAAGAGAGAATTTTTTAAATATTTTTTAGTTTTGGGTGGACACAACATCTTTATTTTATTTTTATGTGGTGCTGAGGATCGAACCCAGCACCCTGCGCATGCCAGGTGAGCACGCTACCACTTGAACCACATCCCCAACCCCTGGAAATCACTATTCAATGATTTTTTTAAATTTTTATTTATTTATTTTTTTGTGGATAGTAAGTTTTCTAACATCCGTGAGTTCCATTTTGGACACCTTGAAATGCCTATTAGACTTCTAAGTGGAGATGAAGATAGAGAATTCTTGCCAAGATGTACATTTGGGAGTTTTTAGCAGATAGCTGACATTAGAACCATGAAACTGGAAGAGAATCCAAGAAAATGTTTCCAAGAAGTCCAAGGACTAAGTTTTGGGAAAGGATAACCAGAAAAAGAAACTATGAAAGAAAGACAAATGGCTCACAGGGAAAAATCTGAAGAGTATGAGGTTTTGGGCTCCAAGTGAAGTCAGTAATCATCTGTGTCAAACGCTGCCGGCAGGTCATATAAGATGAGGGTTAAGAATTGATTGGGGGGTCTAGGGATGTGGCTCAAGCAGTAGCGTGCTCGCCTGGCATGCGTGCGGCCCAGATTCAATCCTTAGCACCACAGACAAAGAAAGATGTTTTGTCTGCTGAAAACTAAAAAATACATAAAATTTTTTTTTTAAAAAGAATTGACTGGGAAATTTAGTTATTTGGAAACATCCTGGGTGACCTACACACACACACACACACACACACACACTTATATAGTGTCTTTATATAGGGAAAATTATAGTAGAAAAATAAGCAGAAGTCAGAAAATTGAATAAAAAAATAAAATTAAAAATAAAGAAAATTGAATAACCCCAAATGAACAGTGTTCATAGCTGCACCGTTCAAGATTATAGGTAATGATTTAACTTTTACTTATTATAAAATCTATACATATTACTTAATGTTTTTTCCTAAACATTTTTAGAGCTCTCTAGTTCCTTTAAATGACCCACTACTATATTAAGGGTAAGGGATGAAAAAAAAAATCCTCAAACTAGAATAGTGATCATCATCAAAAGGCCTCAAGTGATTCTTCAAGCTCATTTATTTTAAGGAGTATAGTATTCTTGGAATTCTCACTCTGTTCCCTGGAATACTAACAGGATCCTTTCCCTAATAGTTCTAAAGATATTATGTTAGGCCAATCAAAAATAAAAGGCTGTTAATTCTGCCTTGAAGAGGGGGGTAAAAATCCCTGGAAAATGCCCCTTTACATCCATTTCCTTGTTCCCAGATGCAGACTGATACACACTGCCCAAGACAGAGAAGCCTGGCTTTCTGTCATTTTTTAAGCTGTTTGGATCTTTGTCAAGCTCACAAGGGCAGATGCATCAATCCATTCATCACACTCCCCTAACAATGGAGTTGGCAGGCATGGAGGGCTGGAACACCTCCACTTGTAACAAATCCAATTCTTGGTCGTCAGCAGCCTTTTGACTCCTCTTGGCAGATGCTCCTGGCTGGGAGGAATCCTTGGGAAAGATGGTGAGCAGAGACAGCTGCCAAAATTACACAACTGCTCAAGGAGGTATTTGCTTAGTGTCCCACCCTCTTAGTAATTGTCTGTAGAGCAAAAAAAAACATGTCAGGAATTTAGGGTTTAAGGAAGTGTTTGGAGTACATTTAAATAGAATAGTCACCTGTTCATTTTAGAGGTCTTTCTTTTCATTTCTAATTTTATACTTAAAGGCAATCTAATATTCAGTCAGAATGTGAGCCTTTAAATTTAAATCTCCCGATGCTTTTAGTCACCTGTTAATCTGGAATGGCTATAACTAACACCATTAGAAATAGCTTCCAATACCCAATCAGGTTAACCTCAAAATGCAATGACAGCTGTCAACTAAAATGCATGGTGAATTCAATGAGTGGCAGATAGATAAATATGGGGTTTACAATTGTAATTACCTAAGGCCCCCAAGATCATCTACCCATTTTTGAGGCAGTAGAATAGTTCTAAGAATTGTGATGCTTTGTCCTGTTGTCTTCCTTGTCCCTCTAACACTCTCTACAAGTTTCTGTGTTAACT